GCATATTTTTTTCAGAGAGGAAGGGAGAAGGAGAGAGAGAAACATTAGTAATGAGAGAGGATCATTGATCGGCTGCCTCCTGCACATCCCACACCAGGGATTGAGCCGCAACCTGGGCATATGCCCTGATGAGGAACTGAACTGTGATGCAGGGTTCATAGGTCAACGCTCAACCACTGAGCAACCAGGCTAGTTGTTCTTTTTTAATTCAAAGGTCAAGTCCTCACCCATCTGTGACGACCACATGGAATTAAATCCTCTTCCTGTGCCCACCTTGCCATGGCTCAAGCTGCCCCTGGTTAAATATTGAAAATGAGTCACCTCCACTTTGAGGGCAGTGAAACTCCTGTGTGACACTGTAATGATGGACAAATGTCATTATAACGTGTCCAGATTCATAGAATGCACCACACCCAGAGCGAATCTTGAGCTAAACTAAGGTCTGTGGGTTGTTATGATGTGCCGATGTAGGTTCATCCGTTATAACAAAAACACACGCTCTGGACAGGGATGCTGATAAAGGGGGAGGCTCTCTGTGTGGGGGGGGTGGGCATATGGAAAATCTCTGTACCTTCCTCTCCATTTCTCTATAAACATAAAATTTCTGTAAAAATTAAATTAAGTCTTTTTTAAAAATGAACCTCCTCAGCGTATCCCTCCGCTAGCACCTAGTGTCCCCTGGGCGTGGTCTCTAAAGGGGCGGGTCCCATGCTCTCCTCTTCCTCGCCTGGCCTCTGCCACCAGTGGCCCCACTGAATGGCCACTCTCCATGGTCGCAGCACAGCCGCTGACACTCTGACTGGAGACCTGGGGCGCCCCCTCCCCTGGGCTGCGCCTTCCCGGCAGGAGAAAGCTGGGGCCCCGATGCCCTCGGTGCACAGACACCAGGCGGGGACGGAGCTCGGGCTTCAGAAGGTGGAAGAAGGAGGAGAAGGACTTGTACTTGCTGCCCAGCAGGGCCCGGCTCAGACCCCAGGGGGAAGGTCCGCCTAGCCGCAACCTGGGCATATGCCCTGATGAGGAACTGAACTGTGATGCAGGGTTCATAGGTCAACGCTCAACCACTGAGCAACCAGGCTAGTTGTTCTTTTTTAATTCAAAGGTCAAGTCCTCACCCATCTGTGACGACCACATGGAATTAAATCCTCTTCCTGTGCCCACCTTGCCATGGCTCAAGCTGCCCCTGGTTAAATATTGAAAATGAGTCACCTCCACTTTGAGGGCAGTGAAACTCCTGTGTGACACTGTAATGATGGACAAATGTCATTATAACGTGTCCAGATTCATAGAATGCACCACACCCAGAGCGAATCTTGAGCTAAACTAAGGTCTGTGGGTTGTTATGATGTGTCAATGTA